TTTTTTTAAGCTGGGATTACAGGCACATGCCACTACCACCCAGCCAATTTTTGTATTTTTTAAAGAGATGGGATTTCACCATGTTGGCCAGGCTGGTCTCAAACTCCTGACCTCAATGATCCACCGGCCCGGCCTCCCAGAGTGCTGGGATTATAGCCATGAGCTACTGTGACTGGCCTAATATTTTTAAAGCATAGAAGGAAAAGAACTTTGAACATAAACTCATCAAGTGTGAGAGTATAATAACAATATTCTTAGGTATGCAAAGCCACTGAAGGTTTACCAGGTAAAAGCTCACTCTAAAAATATTCATCAGAAAAGTTCTCAAATAAAAAGATAAATAAATCTTGTGACTTGTGACATGGGAAACAAGGCCAGTTGAATAACATAGTAAAGGTTGTTGTCTAAAAAGGATAAAAAACAAAGGAAAATAATTGTTAAAATTCCTTTTTCTTTTTTTAATGGAGTCTGGCTCTGTCACCCAGGTTGTAATGCAATGTCGCGATCTTGATTCGCTGCAACCTCTGCCTCCAGGTTTCAAGCAATTCTCCTGCTTCAGCATCCCAAGTAGCTGGGATTACAGCTGCACACTACCACACCCAATTAACTTTTGTATTTTTCATAAAGATGGGGTTTCGCCATGTGGGCCAAGCTGGTCTCGAACTCCTGACCTCAAGTGATCCACCTGCCTCAGCCTCCCAAATTGCTGGGATTACAGGCATGAGCCACCACGTTCAGCCGAAAAATTCCAGAATTAAAATCTTAGACAACAGCAACACAATTGGGATGAGGGCTGGGAAGAAAGGGAGAGACCCAAGGTACATGTAAACTGCTAATGTGTTGGTATTATAACAGGATAAATACAGACTTTAATACATTCAACAAAGTAATAACCATAAACACAAATTTGGGTCTTAAGAGTAAATACAATAACAACAAAAATATTACTTGTTTTAAATAATGAAAAACCTGACCTATTAGCAGAAAATGAGAAAAAAATTAAAATGAAGTATAGTAAGGGGAAAAATATTAAATATTAGAAATAAGCTCTAATAAAACAATTATTCCAATAAGTGTAAATGGATTAAAGTCACCGATTAAAAGACTCTGCAGTTAGATATGTGAGAAACAAATACAAAAAGAGAGGGAGAGAGAGACGATGAAGCAAATATCCTAAGCAAATATGAGCCAAAAGAAGGCTGGAGAATCTATCTCAGTATCTGATTACACAAAATTCAAGTTTTTTTTTAAATCAAAAGAGACATCAATGGATGATACATACTAGAAAAATAAACAACAGTAAAAGATGTGATTGTTTATATGTACCCTAACAATGTTACAATATGTACCTAACATTGTAACAATATAAACAATGTATTTATATGTACAACAGATAAATATTCTTGAATCAACAAATACACTTGACTCTTTTAACATATGCCTTTCAGAAACTGCTAGAACTGGCAGACAAAAAATAAGCAGAACTATAAAGGTCTAAATAATACACTAAACATGTCTAAGCAAGTAGATATATAAAGAGCTCTATACTCAAACAGAGAATATGTAATTATTTTCAACATTTTTTAAAAGTAACTACAAACCAGGCTAAGGCTTCAGTAAACTCCAAGGAATCAATATCACAGAGATTATCTTCTCTGACCATAAAATTAAAAATGATAACAAAAATCAAAGCTTAAAATAATTCCATATGGCTAGAACTTGGTTAAAAATAAAAACATAAGTGAACTTAAAAAAAAAATACATAGAATTGGATGACTGTGAAAACACAGCGTGTCAACTTTGTGAAACATAGCTCAAGCATTACTCAGAGAAATATATACCTTTAAGTACATTCCTCTTCCTTATTTACTGCTAAAAGGAACAAGTGTTTCCCTTAAAGTCACACAAACAGAACATGGAGTGCTGTGGGAAAGCTCTCACTACATATACAAATATCTACCTCGTGGCCTACTGGGCCTTCTGCCCTCAAAATTCATTAGGGACAAAATAAGATGCTATCAATAAATTAAAACCTGAAAGAAAAAAACACATCAGGTAGTGGCACACCCATCTTTGTCAAGGCCCAGTAGGCCTTGACAAGCTATTAGCCAAAGCATACTATTTTGTTGTTTTTTTGTTTTTTGAGATGGAGTCTTGCTCTGTCACCCAGACTGGAGGGCAGTGGTGTAATCTCAGTTCGCTGTAACCTCTGCTTCCCAGGTTCAAGTGATTCTCCTGCCTCAGCCTCCCAAGTAGCTGGGATTACAGACATGCGCCACTCTACCTGGCTAATTTTTGTATTTTTAGTACAGACAGGTTTTTATCATGTTGGCCAGGTTGGTCTCAAACTCCCAACCTCAGGTGATCCTACCACCTCGGCCTCCCAAAGTGCTGGCATTACAGATGTCAGCCACCATGCCTGGCCCAAAAAATACTCTGTTAAAGAAATATATCAACACTGAATCTCTCAATAGTTTATACCTTTTTGATCCATCATTAAATTGGGTATAAAAATCAACAGACCCTGAAATCAAGTAATTTATTTCCCTCTTACTAAGGACTAGGCACTGCTAGTTTCAGCTCCCATTCCCTCTGGGATCCACTGTGTGAGATGAAATACTCCCCCCTTTAATTAAACATTCATCCCCTGATACTGATGTCATAAGAAGAAAACATATTTGCAAACAAGTACCTGATATGGTAAGTCAGCCATCCTTAAATAAGTTTCCATTTTTAAACAGAAAGGAGATAAACTGGGAACACCATTGTTAGGTCTTGCAAACTGATGCAAAATAATAGCATCTTTAGAGTCAATCTCTTGCTGTTTCCTGTCAAAACCAAAACAGAAATAAAGAACAATCCACATGTTATCCACATTCAGTTCCCTTACTTCTTGAGAGGACCCTGAGGGGCTGTAGCTCCTCAATGAACAAGCAGATCTGTCTGGCACAGGGGCTTACCTCACCCAGCACCCAGTTTGTCGCAGGGGCTTGCCTCACCCAGCACTCATGGAAGCTTAGTCGAAACACAAGAGAAAACTTACAAACTCCAATATTACCATGACCCTAGTGGCTCAGCAAAGTAACTACCTAACAACCTCCTTCTGTTACCGGTGGCCTCTGGGCAACAAGAACATTTTCTGGTATTGGTCCACCTCTTCTCCAGCTGGCTGTGTTTACTGCCAGGAACAGGCTGGATGCATAAAAATGATATTTTGTGCTTACTGTGTGTCACACATTGTTCTGAGGGTCTCACTGGTCTTATCGTCTTTAATCTTCATAATAACCTTATGAAGTAGGTACTACTGTTATCCACGTTTTATAGATGAGGAAATTAAGGCACAGAGCATTAACTTGCCCAAAGTCACATTGCTAGTAAATGGGAGAATGGGTACTGAACCAAGAAGTCAGAGCCCATGTTTTTGGCCATTAGACTATACCATTAAACAGTCTATTCATCCACAAGACTCAAGAATAACAGTGCAGATTTGCTCTGCTATGCCCCAAGTCTGTAGGGAATCTGAGACTGAATATTCTGGTCCCTCTTCCCAGCTGTCCATGCCCTCACCTAACCCTTCTTTCACCTGTAATGCTGTGGAACCTGCCTTCTGGATGCTCTCTCTCTAGCTCTGTCTTCCTTATTTTCTGCCTTCCCAGCATCCCCACTTTTACTACACAGCATGTATTTTAGTACCCCTGTTTTCCCCTTTCTTCTATCTCAGCCACACATCCATCTTTTCCTTTGGCTACTCTTTTGAGTGAGGAGGACTTCCCTGCATACAGTTTTTCAATAACCACTATATAGTGGAATGAATGCTGGATTCCAAGCCTGGACACCTGGGATCAAATCCAAGCCCTGCTTCTTATTGGCCACATTAGCCTAGATCTCTCCACCATCTTCACCTGGAGAGTGAGGACAGTGCCAATTCTGCACGGATGATCATGAGGATTTCATAAGGTAATACTGTAAATATTTAGTGAACTATCAAGCATTAAGTAATAGTGGAATTTATGCTCATCCAAAGAGATATAGTCTTATCCCTGCAAACTACAAAATCTCATTCCTCACAGCCCTACTCATACTCCACTCCTCAGGACCCTTTTGCGATTTCCATCTTCATTCAACCCAGCTAATTCCCAGCCAGATAAACTCCACTCTTCCTTCCCCTTGGCCCCACCTCTGGTTCCCTCGCATTGTTCCCAGTACAACACCACACACCCTTCTTTCTACCCAAGCAAGAACAAACTCTTTATATCTTCATCACATGGATGCCCACTTCCTGCAGATCCCCATTCAGTAAAACAAACTCTCTTGAAAAGTTTACCACCCAAGGACCCACTCAACTTCAGGGTTCAGAATGACTCATTTTGAAAATATCTGTCAAGTCAAAAAAATAAAAATATTTGCTGCTTTCTCACAATATTCATTGTAAAAGAAGCGTTTTCATTTAGATGGAATGTTTGGGAAGTAAGATATTAATATCAAGAACTCATTTACTCATTTAGACAATATTCCAAGACAGCACAAACTATAGACGTGACAATTAACTGATTTTTGTTCAAATAATTCCCATCACAAAGTGGTATTTTCATTAAATAACCAGGCAAAAGTTTCAGAACTGACAGGAGAGGAGACAAACATAAAATCCTGCTCCATCAGCCAGAACGATCTAATTCTAATTGTAATTTGGTCCATGTTATAGTAAGAATGGATGCTAATTATGCTCTGGTTTCTCTTCATAACGAATAAATCTTTCGCCTTTTACTAAAGAATGGATGCTAATTTTCTACCAAGCATATGCCAATGACTTTATATATTATATATGTTAACTTATTTAATTCTGACAATGGCACTTTATAATGGATATTGTTACAGTTTAAATTTGGGTTATTATACTATTTCATAGTAGATAAGAAAACTGAAGCTCAAAGACAGTAAATAACTTGCCTAAGGAACATCAATTTAAGATTGACTCTGAAGTAACTCCATGTTCCTAAGCACTTCAAGGCCACCAAAATGGGCAATTCCTCAGTTAATTGTATTAAAACTGCCAGTTTGACTCAGGCCACTGAAGCCTGGAATTTTCTGATAAAAGTCACAGCTAACGATGGCCAACTTTTATTGACTTTTCACCTTGACAAACTCTGTTCTAAGCATTTCACATGTGTAACTCATTTAATCAATTGTATGAGAAAAGCTACTATTATGATTACCATTTTACAGATGAGAAAACTGAGTCATCAAGAGCTTACTGTCATATCCAAGGTTACGTGGCTGGTTAGAGTCTGAATTTGAACCCAGACAGTCTGGCTTCAGAGCCTTCCCTCCAACATGTGAGAAACCCCTCTCTAATTTAGGATCAGAGGATTGGGTGGTTTGTTTCCTATACAGCTATATTTTAGAAAGTGACCTTATCATAGGTTTGTATGAGAGGACACCCATAGAGCATTAACTAGCTAGTTTACTACTATTCCCAGGGCTAACGATATCACAGATGAAAATGTCTCTGTAAACAGCTGATGATTTGTTAGTTTGCAGAGATCAGATGTTGATTTACCAACTAAATTTTCTAGAAGAAGCTGAGCCCACATGCCAAAAGTGCAAATAAGCACTGGTAATGAAGTTATTACTTAGTCATTCAAACAAAAATTTCCAAATGCCTGATTGAATTTAAGATAGCTGCCAAGCTATCTCCAATCAGGGAAAACAAAGCAGTGGGTTGGGACAATATTTATTTAAAAATATGGTGCTTAAAAAAACATGGATAAAACCCCAAAAACCTACTTTGGTTATATTCATTAATCAAACTTCCTAAATAATTCTCACCTGTCAGCTTTACTTTTCCACTCTAGAGACGTAATCATAGATTAAGGTTATATCTATGCAGCAGAAAATCCAAGTAGGCTGAGGAAGAGTTTGCAATTGCCAGTAAACTCAGACACGGCAGTCATTGTAAGGTGTATTTTCCATCTCACATATTTCAGATTTTGTTTTGTTTTCTGCCTAAATTATAGACTACTGAAACCTAGATGTCACCTTAAGTGGAGGTATCTATCATGTAACCTCTAAAGCCTTGGTCTTTGACCTTCCTGCCTGTCTTTTACCCTTTGCCCCCCCCACCCCTCCCCCGACTCCTCTTCCCCTAGAGTCTGCAAGAAAGGCACCTGCTACAGGCCTGTCTTCCCTGAGCAATGCTTCAGTTCCCATATTTCTCTCTTTTTTCCCTCAACAAAAGAGATTTCAAAGTAGGAACTGTCTAAGAGGCAGTGGTTAAAAGAATGCAGGCTCTGATTTGAATCTAGACCCTGCTACTCTTATTCTGTGATCTTGGGCAAGTTGCTTAACCTCCCTGAGCTGCAATTTCCTTATCTATGAAATGGATGTCAAGCTTCAAACAACAGTTGTGAGGAATAAATGCAGTCATACATGCAAAGCCCATATATGCAGAGTCCCTACTAAGTGTTCAGAAATGGTCAGCCCTTTTTTATTGTTTGCATTACTTCAGAGTTTTCTAATTCAACTCAAACATTTGTCCAGAAACATAAGTGACCAAGCATGGTGGCTCACACCTGTAAACCCAACACTTTGGGAGGCCAGGGAAGGAGGATCACTTGAGGCCAGGAGTTTGACCAGCCTGGGCAACATAGTGAGACCCTATCTCCACAAAAAAGTTAAAACAAAATTAGCCAGGTGCAATGGTTCATGCCTGTAATCCCAGCAACTCAGGAGACTGAGGCCAGAGGATTGCTTGAGCCCAGGAGTTGGAGGCTGCAGTGCCACTATAGGGCCATTGCTCTGCAGCCTGAGTGATACAGTGAGACTCTACTTAAAAAAAAAAAAAAAAAAAAAAAAAAAAAAAAAAAAAAAAAAAAAAAAAAAAAAAAAAAAAAAAGCATGAATCAGCCTAGGATTTAACTCTTTAATCCAAATAAGCATCCAATGCTGAGATTTATAGTCCCCTAAATGAGTTAGGAGCTATCTGTGGACAGAGAGCTCTCCAGTCTCCAATAACCACACCTGCCAGGGCATGGCTTACTCCCAAGCTGAGTTCCATACTGTTTCTGCAAGGTCATTTAAGCTGTTTTAAACCTGGTCCTGTGAAGCCTTCACTCCCTCCACTGCTGAGAAGCCTCATGGTTCAGGATCTCCTCAAAGGCTTTAGACTAGAATACAACTGAGAAACAACTGGGTTACCATTAAAATTACTGCCCAAATGTTTTAGTTCTTCAGATAGCTTGAAATCTAACTTGAAATACAGTTCTAAAACTAGCATAATTGTCAAATAATCTAGAGAGATAATTCTCTTTAAATTGTTTTATTTGGTTCAGCTAGATTCAAGGCACTGTATTAAGTGAGAGAACTAAATGTGCAACAAGCTTAAAATAAACTTCCTCAAATATGGCTAAATAATATGAAAACCAATACATTTCCCCAAACCTAAAGATTTCCCACCCTCTCAGAGATGGGAACTATTCAAAACATATGGTAGGCAAAAGATCTACATTAGGCTATCACAATAATCTCCTGGGATTCCTGCAGGCTAATAAAGGTCACCTATCACTGTCTTTGTTTATAACCTATTGTGTAGGATTCCTCCACTGGAAAAAGGCAGTGTGGACACATTTCTCTCACTTTAGAAAATACTGGCAAAGGGACATTCTGAGCTATTGAAAACTGGGCTTCTGGTAATCTTCCAGTGACTGAGGGCTCAAATGCACGGAAATTTTAACCATTAATTGATGTATCAATTAGCCAAACAGTCTCAGTGCCCTGTGGTTATTACTCTACCCAAACAAAAATCTCCTGCCGGATGGATGTGCCAACAGCAGGGGCCTCCATTTTCTGGTATTCCCAACTCAATCTTGTAAACATTCTGCGGCAGCGGATGCAACTGTTTACGGAACTGGGCGACTCCGTGCTATGCCCAACACGCCCATGTGCTAGCCTGTCCTACTGCTCACACAACAATGACATCTAAGCCTGAAGATGGTGCTTGGCGTTCAATACCAGATAAGCAGAGAACCAGGTTAAGGCTGCATCAAAACTGCACACCACTACACTTGGTCATGCATCTTTAATAGGGACCCGCAGGTTCCTGGAGCTTTTGCAATTTTTCTCCCTTTTGATGTTGACATTTAGGGAAGGATGGTGAAGAACTAATCTTTTAGATAAAAGATGAGGTTAGCAGTTAATATTACAGCATTATCACCTATAAACAAATAAGGCATTTCATAAGAGTGTAACCTATTTCTACAGGGCCCAATTTCTATTGTTGCAAACACACTGCACTGAAATCCTCCTAAGGACATTTCTTAATAGATAACGACAAGTGACCCAGAGCATTTTGGGAGACAAATGTTTTTCCCTCCCAGCACCGGTTTAATTCTCCTTTCCACTGCAAACTGCCCCTCACGGCCAGGTGACCACCGAATGCCTTTAGGGAAAGGTAATTGCAGGACGCTTGAGCATCTGGGCAGCGTGACCGAGGGGCTGGCACGGGCCCCCCTCGCACCAGCCGTGCCCTAGCCAGGTGCCCCTCTCGGCGCCCCTGTGCGGGGCCCTCTCTCCGGCTCACCTAATGACCAGGAGTTCGTGGAGCAGATACGCAGCTGCGGCCAGCAAAGCTCCCCCAGTCAAGTAAAGGGTTTTCTTCCACCAGGGATCGGAGCCCAGCCCTGCCATGATCCCACCGTAATCCTGCAAAGGGAAAGCGATGATGTCCCCATAAAAGGAGAAGGGCTCCTCGGACCCGGCCCACCAGCCGAAGAAGGAGACGCTCTGGTTCCAGCTCAGATCCACCACGCACGGCCTGGACGAGGCAAAGCCAACCCCCCAGTGCATGCTGCGCGGCTGGCTCCGGGCGCCCCTCCCAGGGCCCGCGCCGCCCGCATGGGAAGGGGCCGGCGCGGCCCGGCGCGGGCTCAGAGGCGCGCGGAGGGCGCGGGCGGCAGCGACTGAGGAGGCGGCCGCAGAGGAGGAGGAGGAGGAAGGACGCCGGCCGCGGACGGCGGGCCTGGCCGGCGGGGCCCCAGGCCCCTGGGCGGCAGCGGCGGCCGCCGGCTCCCCCCGCAGCGGCCTCTCCGCCCCGCTCTTTGTGTCGGCGCCTGGAGAAGGCCGCGTGATGTCATTGCTCCCCGGGGCAGGGAAACAGAGGCGGGATAAAGTCACCTACCCCGCGCCCTGCCCCCGCCCCGCATCTCCGCGGTCCGGCAGCCTCCGCCGGGGCCGGAGCTGCAGGACTGGGGCGCGCCGGGCGGGCTCCGCGCCTCCAGGCGGCACGCCCAAAAACCGCTGGCCGCGCGCGGGCAAGGGCGGCGGAGGTGCCTGGAAACGCGGCTCCACCGCGAGAAAGCTGCAGTCGGGGCCCGGATCCCGGTCCTCCCCCACCCCGGCCCGCCCTCCGCCTGCGCTCCAGCCCCTCCCGCGGGCCCCGGAGCGGGGAGCGCGCAGGACTCACCTGGGGCGCGGAGCTGCGGGCCGGAGACGCCACCCGGCGGGGGCTGGGAGCGTGGGCCAGGATTAAAGTCGGGAATCAGATTCTTCTGGCTTTCAGAAAAGCGCTGTGTATTTGCATAATTTATAAAAAACGCTCTTATTACGTTACACAGTTACCTTGGGCTTGGCCAGGTGTTCGCAGAGACGAGATGTCTGGTTTTACAAATGACAACAAAATACTCTACCTAGAGAGATTTCTTTGACAAGCCCAGTTCAAGCTTTTTCTCTTTGAAGTCACTATCAGGGAACTCGCTGATATAGGGTTTTGGTTGGGGGGGTGAGGATGCCTCTTTTGGTTAAGAAAATCTAACAACTGTGTGTGTGTTCAGTGTATTTTTTTCCTTTAACTTCATTTATTAAAGTTCATAAGTGCAAAGAATAGAAGCTTATAATATATGCACAGATTTTAGCAAGAGCGTGGATAGTCTTAAATTGTTTGGAAGAACTGAAGAAGGAATCGGGCCATGGAGGTGCATCACTCTTAAGGTGGAAGGATGGATAAAGGAAAACCTCCAGGCTTTTGCCTGAAGAGCAGAGATTGAGGCGAAAGAGGACTCCTTTTTTTTTCTTCTCCTACCACACCAGCTCCTTAGAACAGGCCATGAGTGTGGTCGTATTGTTAATAAATAATAAATATGGACATGTTGCCTCAACGAGACGCGGGACGGGGGAGGGGCTAGTGAGCTGGTGCTTAGGCATCAGCATGAGAGACCCCCAAAATCCTCCTGCGAACATGTGGCCTCCCAGGAAGAAGAAATGTGTGTGGTTGGAAGTGAAGCTCCCATGAATAAGTTACAAGGAGTGAAACCCAACAGCCTGCTGGGGTGACTGAGGTGGTCACCAGACCGTCTTCCAAGGAGAGAGGCCAGAAGACTGCCTGGCCTTGTCCGTAAGAAGCAAATTAGTTAAGTTTGGGACTAGAGCTGCAGTACTCTGGAAGAGAGAACAAGGAGAGCTGGCGCCAGGTATCCTCCATGCTCCGTCTGTGCCCTTCCCACAGAGCACTCAGCCTTTGCTCTCAGTAAACACTGAGCCAATATTTGAAGAATATAAGTTTGATGTTTGGAATCACATTATTTTCGTATCTAGGTCTAGGCATGGGCATAAATTACCTTGAGTGGAAGAATATGGAAGGCAAGAAGGAGAGTCAATCCTGACAAATCTTATGTCCCAAAACAACTTAGAAACCAGAGGAAGTGTAATATTTTTATCCCAGAAAGCCACTGACTACAATTCACTCTCACTCATGGTGACCTGCCCTACCCACTCATGCAGGCCGGGGGCCCAGTGCTGCTTCCTGGTAGTATCAGACAACTGTTGAGCTTCACCCTGTCTCTAGTTCAAACATGGTTTAAGTGTTTAGAGGCAGAATGCAGTAAACTTTACGAAGCAGATGCGGGCCGGGCGCAGTGGCTCACGCCTGTAATCCCAGCACTTTGGGAGGCCGAGTCGGGCAGATCATGAGGTTAAGAGATCGTGACCATCCTGGCCAACATGATGAAACCCTGTCTCTACTAAAAAATACAAAAATTAGCTGGGCGTGGTGGCGCGTGCCTGTAGTCCCAGCTACTTGGGAGGCTGAGGCAGGAGCATTGCTTGAACCCGGGAATCGGAGGTTGCAGTGAGCGGAGCTGGCGCCACTGCACTCCAGCCTAGCGCCTGGCGACAAAGCGAGACTCTGTCTCGAAAAAAAAAAGAAGCAGATGTGGGCTGAGCGTAGTGGCTCGTGGCTATAATTTCAGCATTTTGGGAGGCTGAGGCAGGTGGATCACCTGAGGTCAGGAGTTCGAGACCAGCTTGGCCAACAGCTCTACTACACCTCAAACCCGGTCTCTTCTAAAAATACAAAAAA